AAGCTCTTTGGACACTCCAAACAATGATATGGCTTCTCCCCAGTGTGCATTCTTTGATGGCAAATCAGCTTTGCCTTCTCAGTGAAGTACTTTCCACACTCCAGACATGTATATGATTTATCTTGTGTTTGAAGTATGCTGTGCGCTTTATTGTTTGATTGAGAACCGCACATTCTTTTGTGCACATGGACTGTGTTCTTTTCTTGTCCAGTGTGTACCTCTTCTTGGATTGTGTTATGGCAGCCACTGCCCTGCAGAGCAAGGCAATCATTCCTTCCACTGTGATTACCTTCAGTCTTCCATCTTTGCTGATCACTATTTTTCCATCTGTGTCTTTCCTGTGACATCCCATATAGTTCTCTCCTATTATCCTCTTCCCACCTGTCACCTCCTGGAATGAGAGCAAGAATTCAGAAGAAGCCTATGTTAGCAGCAGAAGTACAAATAGCAGAGCACACTCAGTACTGATTGCTATGAAGGGAAGAACCAGAAGAACTTTGATGGGATGCTGCTCTTAGAATGGGCTGAACGGCATTAACAGACTCTCTGTGTTACACGACCAATATTGCTGGGACTGTGTAGACCCAGAATCAACCTCCTAGGAGGAAACACAGATTCTAGGCTAGCATATCCAGGGCCTTTTATCAGGCTGCTTAGTAGAATTTAACGAAGTTTGGAAGGGTAGAAAGCAGGAGCAGGGCCTTTTCACAGTGGCACCGATCTCAGGAATATTCTCCCCAGGGAGATAAGCCTGGTGCCCTCCTTAGCTTCCTTTCAGCACCAGGTGAAAACTATTTTATTTTCTCGTTATTTTAATTCTTAGATCTCTAATCATGTTTGAAATATTGAGTATTATCTGCTGCTCTGTCGCAGGATGGATGGATGGATGGAGTTATTTATTTATTTAATTCCACTTGTATGTGGCCTAAAAGCCATTGGCTCTCTGGCTACTTACAACATGTTAAAATCTAACAACATAAAAAAGTACAAACAAAGTATGACATTTGGTACAAGACAAAATAATATTATAATAACAATATCATCCATAAATAAACAGAATTAATACCGCAAAATTCCCCTGTAAAACTAACAGTCTGTTTTCAGTTACGCCTAAAAGCCAAAAGAGTTGGTGCCAACCAGACCTCAGGCCGGATCGTATTCCAAAGATGGGGTGCAATGCTGGAGAAGGCCCTACTTGCTGTGCTGTTATCCTGTTCCGTTGTTTGTAGTTTTAGGGTTATTTAACACGAATATTGATTGAATGCATATGTGATTTTAATCACTGTAAACCTCCCAGAGAGCCTGCAGGCTACAGGGTGGTAGAGAAGTGCAATATAGTGCAGAGGAGCCGACACCAGGGAAAGCTGGCAGCCACGGACCTGGTTCCTTCAGCAGCTTCCTACCTGCGGCAAGGTGCAAAACGTCACGGCAGGGCTACCTGAGCGCTGTGGGTCGCATACGCAGAGTCAGACCTGGGATTATGACACCAATTGACGCCACAAACATTCAGAGAGCAGATTTGGGCAGGCAAGCACTCTGGTCTGAGCCATCTCCGCAGGCAGGAATCTTCCCTGCCGGCTCACCTGCCAGAACAGGAATTTCTCCTTACATGAAACATGATGCACTTCACTTAAGGAGCAGCTTGCCAGCTTTTACTCTTAAGACAATTCTGGCATGCCGTTGTCTTGGAAATCCTGCTGTAACTCCCTGTGAGCAGTTCCATTCGTAGCCGTTGGACCAGGAGTTCCCCAGCTCTGTGTTACCACAACACTTGGGCCTCCTGACTACTTCTTGGCGCACGGCCATTCCCCACGTCCTGTTGCTTTCAGACAGAAAGAACAGGACTCTTTCCCAGCCCTCCACCTAGAGCAAATCAGGGTGTGATTTGGGGATCTACGTATTTGTGGGGAGAGGCTGCACCTGCATGAGACTCACAGGGACACAGCTGAGCCTGAGTTCTGGAAGGAGCTGCACTTTCAGATTCAGTGATGGGTTAACCGTGCGTTCCTATTTGTGGCGGTTCCCAGGGTTTCCTGCTGACTTGGGGACCGGATGCAGATCGCTGTTCTGATGTTCTTGACGCTCCTGAGGGTGAGCTCCCATGTGCACCTTTGTTGCGGGGAAGGCAGGACAATAAGCATTTCGCTTTCCTACATGCCATCACGGGACCTCCGGCTTGTGGCAGTCCTATGAATGAGAGTCCTGTGCTTCACAGCCTTACGCAAGCCTGGCGAATCCCGGGATGCAGCTGCCTTGATGGAGTCGATCCGTCTCCTAATGGGCCTCCCTGTTCTTCTGCTGCCTGCGACTTTCCCTAGCAGGGTGGTCTTCTCCAGGAAGTGTGTCCTTCTCAGGAGGTACCCAACCTTGGACAGCTTCCGTTTCGTCATTTTTGCTTCCAGGGCAAGTTCTGGCTTGATTTGCTGGCCCCTGTTCACAGACAAGACTGGACAGACTAGCAGAAAGCCAAGGCTAAGTCTTGAAGATGTGTCCCTTCTCAGCTGGCTTTATCGGTGTCGTGCTGAGGACGGCTTTCAACACTCTGAGCTGCTTTAAGCATTCCTGTGCCACTGTCTGTGGCTTGCTTGAGGCGTGTGTCTTTAAACTGCTTTTACAATACTGTTCTGTCATTTGCCTACTTTAATAAAACATAGTAATCCTATTTTTAAACACTGTATTTTGAGGGCTAGGCCCTGAAATATAAAATAAAAAATCTAGGACATGGGCCAGAAACGGTAATCTTGTCTTCCTTATCATGCCGGCAGTTACAACCAAGTATTATCCCTTAGCAGAAAAACAGGAAGCCTTACCGAGAGAGGCCACAGTCCTGCGATTCTCCTCCATGATCTGGCTGTGCAGGGCTCTCTGGCCAGCATCCAGCAGGGCCCACTCCTCCTCCGTGAAGCACACGGCAACCTCCTCAAAGGTCACCAGAGCCTGCATGAAGAAAGGAAAGGTTTCGTTATCAAGGTCACAGACTACGGTGGCTGGGCATTATACTGCAGGTCTGAAACTCGCTTGCTCAGGAAGCAGCGGCCAAAAGGATCCTTCTCCCCTCTCCTCCTTGCGTGCCTCCCATGAGGCATCTGGAGCAGCTGCTTTTCGATGAGCGTTTGCTAGACTGGACAGGCCTTTGCTCCCATCCCACAAGTCTCCCTCTCTGATGATAGGTTTCCCAGAAGAAAAGAGAAAGACAGAGCGATTAGCTGGAATCTTTTCCCCAAAGAAGTTTGCCTGATGCCTTCTCTCTCTCCTTTTCGGCATCAGGCAAATACCCCTTTATTTTCCCTTTTTTTTATTTAGGTTATTTTAAAGATTTTAATGGTGTTTACGATATATTCCCCTTCATGGATTACTACCTTGTCGTGGTGAAGGGGCTAGTGTAGCTCAATGAAGCTATAAGCTATGCCGTGCAGGGCCACCCAAGGCAGACAGGTCATAGCAGAGAGCTCTGACAAAACGTGATGCACTGGAGAATGAAATGGCAACCCACTCCAGTATCTTTGCCATGAAAAACCCCATGGACAGTACGAAAAGGCAAAAAGATATGATGCCGGAAGATGAGCCCCAGTGTCCAACATGCTACTGGGGAAGAACAGAGGGCCAGTACTAGCAGTGCCAGAAAGAATGAAGCGACTGGGTCTAAGCGGAATGAACACTCAGTTGCAGATGTATCTGGAGGTGAAAGGAGAGTCCGATGCTGTAAAGATCTATACTCCATAGGAACTTGGAATGGAAGATCTATGAATCAAGGCAAGCTGGACGTGGTCAAACATGAGATGATAAGACTGGACATCAACATCTTAGGAATTAGCGAACCAAAATGGACAGGAATGGGTGAGTTTAATTCAGATGACCATCAGGTATACTACTGCGGGCAAGAATCCCTCAGAAGAAATGGGGTAGCCTTCAAAGTCAATAAAAGAGTAGGAAAAGCAGTACTGGGATACAATCTCCAAAATGACAGAATGATATCAGTTTGAATCCAAGGCAAACCATTCGACATCACAGCAGTCCAAGTCTATGCCCCAACAACTGGTGCTGAAGAGGCTGAAGTTGAAGGCCTACAACACCTTCTAGAATTAACACCTTCCAGAATTAACACCAAAAAATGGTGTCCTTATCATCATGGGGGATCGGAATGCTAAAGTAGGAAACCAAAAGATAACCAGAATAACAGGCAAGTTTGGCTTGGAGTACAAAATGAAGTAGGGCACAGGCTGGTGGAATTTTATCAAGAGAAGACAATGGTCATAGCAAACACTCTTTTCTAACAACCCAAGAGACTCTACACATGGACATCGCCAGACGGTCAACACAGAAATCAGGTGACTATGTGCTCTGCAGCAAAACATGAAGACGCTCTATACAGTCAGTAACAACTAGACCAGGAGCTGAATGTGGCTCAGATCATGAGCTTCTCATTGCAAAATTTAGGCTTAAATTGAAGAACGTAGGGAAAAGCACTGGGCCACTCAGGTATGACCTAAATCATATCCCTGATGAAGATACAGTGGAGGTGACAAATACATTTAAAGAATTAGATCTGATAGACAGAGTTCCTGAAGAACTATGGACGGAGATTCGCAACATTGTACAAGAGGTAGCAACTAAAACCATCTCAAAGAAAAAGAAATGCAAGAAAGGCATATGGCTGTCTGAGGAAGCTTTACAAATAGCGGAGGAAAGAAGGGAAGCGAAAGGGAAGGGAGAAAGAGAAAGATACACCCAATTGAATGCAGAATTCCAGAGAATAGCTAGAAGAGATAAGAATGCCTTCTTCAATGAACAGTGCAAAGAAATGGAAGAAAACAGTAGAGTAGGGAGGACCAGAGATCTCTTCAAGAAAACTGGATATGAAGGGAACATTTCATGCAAAGATGGGCACGATAAAGGACCAAAATGGCAGGAACATAACAGAGATAGAAGAGATTAAGAAGAGGTGGCAAGATTACACAGAAGAAGAAAGAGCTTAACGTACCTGATAACCACGATGGGGGGATCACTGACCTCGAGCCAGACATCCTGGAATGTGAAGCCAAATGGGCCTTAGGACATCTGAGCAACAACAAAGCTAGTGGAGGCGGCAGTATTTCATCTGAAGGTGCAAAACTCAATAGAGAGCCAGTGTGGTGTAGTGGTGAAGAGCGTGGGACTGGGACTCAGGTGATCTGGGTTCTAGTCCCCGCTCAGCCATGGAGCCAACTGGGTGACTTTGAGCCAGTCACAGACTCTCAGCCCAACCTACCTCACAGGGTTGTTGTTGTGGGGATGAGATGGAGGAGGAGAATGATGTAAGCTGCCTTGAGCCCTTTGTAGGAAAAAGGCAGGCTATAAATTGGAAAATAAACAAATAAAAAAAATAAAATGTCAGCAAATTTGGAAAACTCAGCAGTGGCCACAGGATTGGAAAAGGTCAGTTCACCTTCGGATCCCAAAGAAGGGCAATGCCAAAGAATGTTCAAACTACCGCACCATTGCACTCATTTCACATGCTAGCAAAGGGCTGCTCAAAAGCCTACAAGCCAGGCTCCCGCAGTATGTGCACCGAGAGCTACCAGAAGTACAGGCAGGGTTTCAAAGAGGCAGAGGAGCTAGAGATCAAATGGCCAACATATGCTGGATCATGGGGAATGCTAGGGAGCTCCAGAGAAACATCTACTTCTGCTTCCCTGACTATGCTAAAAACTTTTACTGTGTGGATCACAACAAATTGTGGCACGCTCTTAAAGAGGTGGGAGCACCAGACCATCTTATCTGTCTCTTAAGAAACATATATGCAGGTCCAAAAGCAACAGTGAGAACTGGGCACGGAACCAATGATTCGTTCAAACTTGAGAAAGGAGTTTGGGGAGGCTGTACACTGTCGCCCTGCCTATTTAACTTATATGCAGAGCACATCAGGAGAAAGGCGGGGCTAAATGAATCACCAGTTGGAATTATGATTGCTGGGAGAAATATCAACAACCTCAGTTATGCAGATGATACCACTCTCATGGCAGAAAGTGAAGAGGAACTGAAGAGCCTCACTTCCTGGCAAATAGATGAGGAAGAAATAGAGGTAGTGACAGATTTTATTTTCCTGGGCTCCAAGATCACCGCAGACGGGGGCTGCAGCCAAGAAATTAAAAGTGCATGTAGTCAAGGGTATGGTTTTCCCAGTTGAAAGGGATGGCTGTGAAAGTTGGACCACAAGGAAGGATGAGCACCGAAGAATTGAGGTCTTTGAATTGTGGAGAAGACTCCTGCGAGTCCCTTGGACCACAAGTCGATCAAACCAGTCAGTCTTAAGAGATCAACCCTGACTGCTCTTTAGAAGGACAGATACTGACGATGAGACTCAAATACTTTGGCCACCTAATGAGAAGGAAGGACTCCTTGGAGAAGAGCCTAACGCGGGGAAAGATTAACGGCAAAAAAAGGGGGCGGGAGAGAATGAGGTAGCTAGATGGAGTCGCTGAAGCAGTCGGCGTGAGCTTAAGTGGACTCCGGGGGTGGTGGAGGACAGGAAGGCCTGGAGGAATATTGTCCATGGAGTCGCGATGGGTCGGATGCGACTTCACAACGAACAACAACAACAAAAGTTACCTTAGTACAACAGTGTCTCTTTATTTTGTTCCTCTAATGATTTAATACTTTATGATATTTTGATAATTTATTTTGGGATTTTTCTGTCTAACTGTTGTGATTTTAATGTAATGTTAGTTAATATTATCTCTTTATTACATATCTTGGCACTAGTGATTAATTATATTTTCTAATCCATCCAGAGAGCCAATTTGGCCTTGGGAAGGGCAGAAATCTAATAAATAATAAATATTTGCCTCTTAGAAGGGGAGCAGATAATCGGATGTTGTGGCTGGTTGCTTCCTCTCTCCTAAGAGAAACTTTCCCTTACCTGATCCAGTTTCACTCCTTCCTGAAGAAAAAGAGATGGATGGGTATCCATTTCTGCCAACATGCCTGCTCCTAGGAAAGACAAAAGAGATGGGAATCTTGTAGGGGACTGAGACCACAATTCTAAACTTGTGGGAAGGAATCCCTTGAAGTCAAGACACAGAAACATGGAAACACAGAAACAGAGCGAGTCAGATGGATTCTCCCAGGCCGTCTAGTCTGACCCCCAGGGCCAGCTGGCTCCGTTCATGACATGCCCACCAAGAGAACCGACTCTCCAGCTGAATGCACAGCACTGCACTACAAGCAATGAATGTCTGGGTGCACATGAGTATTACAGGATTTGCACTTTTAGAATTTGGGTTGAATGAAAATGCATAGTTATCCATTTGGGCCCACAGGCTGCGAGAATGTATGCAGTCTCCACGGGTTCAAAATTAGATATAGATTCGAATAGCGGAAAAGCAAGGACCAGATGCTTCCCCACAAAAGCCACACATGCACACTGACCTGGCGATTGGAGAGGCCACCACCGTAGTAATCCTTACCCTGAAAGGAGAGGCACCCATCTTGCTCCCGCTTGATCTCAGTTTGGGGTGGACGCAGTTCAGAGCCTGAGACAGCTCTCTCTGCTGCAGGGAAATCAGGTCCCGCTTCTACAAACAGATTCTTCACCTGGAATAGCAGCATAAATACAAGACGCGGAATGAGGAGAAAAATTAGAAAAGGCGAGAGAGATGCAAAAATATTGGAAGTGAGATAGGGGGATTTCTCCCCAGATTCCCAGAGAGTTTCGGCGTTTCGTCTCACGCATCCTTGAGCACGTGACCAATATTCTCACCTGCTCCTCCTCCAATTTGTTCTCCACTGACTGGCTCAGGAGGAAGCCCTCCGCCAGGGCCACCGCCTGGGAACTGCTCTCTGCTCCACACTCCCTCACCCAGTTCGCCATCTCCGCTGGCAGGATGGCCAGGAACTGCTCCAGGACCACCAGGTCCAGGATTTGGTTTTTGGTGTGTTGCTCTGGCCTCAGCCACTCCCGGGAAAGTCGGTGGAGTTGGCTGCAAGCCTCTCGGGGCCCCTCAGCAGCCTGGTAGCGGAGCCGCTTGAAACGCTGGC